TAAAAAAAAAAAAAAAAAAGAACACTGAGCATCTTCCTGCCCCTTGGAGGGGGACAGGACAAGATTTTCAGCTTCTGTTGGGTGACTGCCAAGAAGAAGAGCCCCTGTGCCCCAATCTGCTGGGGACATCTTTGGAGAGGTTGAGCAGAGAATAAGTGATTCAATCCAATTCTGAGTCTTTTTTCCAAATTCACTGCAGGGTATGTGATAGGGTCAGTAGTATAAGCCCAGTTCTTGTTGGCCAGAACCCCAGTGTTTGCCATGCATGTGTAGGGGCCTTACCAATGTGGGAAGAAGGGGTGAGGGGGTTCAGCTGTGAAGGCCAGGGACTTTCCAACAGCTGCCTTTCCAGCCCTTCCACACTCTCTGTGCCACGTGCCCCCCCAGACTTTTATTCTGAACGGACCAAGGTCCTGGAAGGGAGGGAGGAGACCGAGGCTGGAGCTGGCACTGACCCTGAATTACTCCTCCCTCTGTGCCCTTCCTTCCTTCCTTCCTTCCTTCCTCCCTTCCTTCCTTCCTTCCTTCTTTCCTTCTTTCCTTCCTTCCTTCGTCCCTCCCTCCCTCCCTCCCTCCTTCTTTTCTTTCCTTCCTTTGTCTTTTTGAGGCAGGGTCTCCTTATGCAGATCAGGCTGGCCTTGAGCTCACTTTGTAGCCCAGGCTGGTTACAAACTTGTAATGATCCTGCTGTCTCCACAGTGGGCCAGCTCCTGCCATTTCCCCTCCCAGGTCAGATCCCTCAGCTCTTTATCCTTGGGCTTTCTATCCTCCCACTGCTCCCCTTTTGGTTCTCCCAGGGCCTTCTTGCTGCCTGTGTTTCCTAAAGAAGCCATGCAGGCCAAGGCACTATTTCAGAGCTCTTGGGACAAGAGTCTTCTTAGTTCTGTCCTTTTTCCCTGCCTGGGGGATGGAGGGATCGAATAGCCAGGACACCCTATGATGTTGGTATGAGGGGCCTCTGTCAAGTACCTGAGATTTAGAGCAAGGAAATAAGCAGACTTTTCCAAGTGGCTTCCATTTAAATCTTGAACCCAGTCACAATTTTCTCAAAGACCCACCAGGATAGATTTCCCTGACTTTGGCCCACAAAGTTTCCAGAGCTTAAGAAAATCAAAAAGCAAGAGAATGAAAGAGACAATGTTCTATTCCAGGGCTGACATCCAGGCCAGACTTTGACCTGGGACAGGGACAGCTGTTGGGCAGAGGAGTATGAGAGAGGAAGGACTTTGAGCTGGGGGCTGCAAGTTACCGATTAACAAGTGGAGGAGACAGGGATGCGCTGACCCGGTACAGTCTGAGCTTGAAGGGGACACAGAAGAGGGGTCTGGAGGGTCAGCTTCTTGTGGGCTATCTGACCTTCTTGAAGACCTGCTTGCACACGGCGCTCTTCGCTGTCAGCTCCTGGAGGTGGAGGAGGAGAGAGGAAGAGGGTTCTCCCAGCTTGAGCTCCTTTCTCAAAGCCTTTGACTTCTGTTTACTCCTTTAGGAAATAACAGCTAGAGCGTTTGATGTATGGGGAGTTGTTCCCTAACTCTTCACCTCAAAGGAAGGGCGCTTGGCCAGGAGATGTGCAGTGTCTATCCCCACCACATTTGGTTTTAATTATTATTATTATTGTTATTGTTATTATTATTTATTCCTTTATTTATTTGGTACAGGGTCTCATCATGCAGCTCAGACTCATAGTGATCCTCCTGTCCCAGCCTCCCCAGCACTGGGATTCTAGGCTGGTTTCGGTGACTTGCATGGTGGCAGGGCATGCAATTCTAGGGATTGAACCCAGGTCTTTGCACTTGCCAGGCAGGCACTTAGACCACTGAGCTATACCCCATGTCTTGTTTTCTTTAAATTAAATTACTTATTCATTTATTTCTTGTTGAGTTTGGAGACCTGGCCAAGATCCCCAATTGCCTGTATGAAGGGTAAAACAAAGGATAAAATAAGAGGCAGAGACAATTTAGTAATGCACAAAAATGGGGGTTGGGAGATCAGTGCCTCAGGATGGCCAATGACAAGGACTCTTCAGCTTGCTACTATTTTATTAACCAGTGCATGGAGAGGGGGAGTGAGTGATTTTAGGAACAGTGAGGGTGGCCTAGTAAAAGAGCAAAGAGAGGGGTGGGGTGATGGCTCAGTAGAATAAGTGCTTGCCTGGCAAGCGCAAGGGCCTGCGTTCAATCCCCAGTTCTGAAAAAAAAAAAAAAAAACCCAAAAACAAAACAAAAAAAAAACCACGAAGCATTCTTGCAAGGATGATACGATGGCCAGCAAGGAAAGTGTGGTTTCCCCAGGT